GGAGGGGCTTGCTACAACAGAAGTCCTTAACGGTGTTGGAGTCCGTGTCTAAGTTTATTCTGACAGGGAATTGTAGGCCAAGGGTCCATATAAAAGTCACACACAGCAGGAAGGAAAAAAGGGAGGAAAAAAGAGAACTGGGGTTGGGTCATAGTGAGTTGTACCCGTAACCGAATAGTGATAGGTTGAATGGGGAATTCATGGAAATAACAGTAGGACGGGATTGGATACTTTTTTTTGTTTGAATGGTTGGCGATAACAGAATTTTAAATGAACGTTTTTTCTTAGAGATTTTGAATCTGTACGTATGAAATGATATACATTTGTAGACTTCCAGCGTTCTTGGGGGGTTCTTCACCACGCCCTTGCTCAAAATTAAAAAAAAAACAAGAGTTTGTATAAAGAGAGAGGGATATTAATTCCAAAGCATTTTCCCATGGAGTATAGAAAAAAGATAAAACAATGAAGCTAAGTATGGTGGTGAATAATTCCATCCTTCAGAAGTGCATTCACAAGGTAAATAAGCTATGACAGGCTAGTCTGGTATAGAAAAGGTAATATACCCCCTAAAATTAGAAAATAATAGTAAGCAAAAAATGTTGAACAGTAATCGTAATAGAGGTATACTAATTTGCTTCAAAATGCTATGTAATCTAAAATGTATCACTAAAGTTATGATGCGCTAACCCTAACCAAAGGGAAATCTGACTATTCGATTCAAGTATCACCCTTTTTTAAAAGAAGAGAATGCACACATATGCAATAGTACTACATCAGTTGTGAAATTTACAATACAATGAAATTATAATTCGCTAAAATTCGTACTTGAGGCGAAAAAGACCTGATTTAATTTAATAAAAAAAATATCCTAAAGACTAGCTTTAGTAGTTCGTCTCAAATATAATTTGTGAAGCTAATTGCCTTCACTTTTGCTATACTAAATATAGGACTCCACTAAAAATATAAATGTAATTCATCCCTAAATGAACGAATGTTGAGAATTTAGTACGTTTTTCAAAAACAGATAAAATAAAATTCAAGGCTTATTAATATAGTTTTCTTGTTTAAAAAAAGATCATACGTACCTTAATCTCGCCTTCTATCGCAAATCCAGCAGCATTTTTTGCGGGTATTCCATATACTCCTTCCAAGTATTCGAAAAACGTACTAACGTTGCCCCGTCGATCACACGATGATCCCCAGTAAAAGAAACCATCATAACATTCATTGGAATAGCCTCCTTTTCCCTTTCTTTATTATGGTGAGCCGGATTCGTTTTCACAAATCGAGGGAGGTGATGAATGCGACCCAGCGCGGCGATCGCGACCTGCGGGGCGACGAGGATTGGCGTCCCGTGCAGGGCGCCGACCGAGCCGATGTTGCTAATCGTGAAGGTCCCCTCCATCATATCCTCCTTGGTGAGATGATTATTGCCGCCTTTTTCGACCAACCGCTGCACCTCCGCCGCGATCTCCAAGATGTTTTTGGACTCCACCGCCTGCACGACGGGGACGATCAGGCCGTTCGGCGTGTCCATCGCGAAGCCGATGTTGTGCGCCTTTTTGCACACCAAAACGGAGCAGTCCGGCGCGCAATGGGCATTCACCTCGGGGTGTTTTAACAACGCCATGGAGGCGGATTTGATGAAAAACGGAAGAAAGGTCAGCCGCGGGGCGCCCGGTGTGCGGGTCGCCACCGCCTCTTTCAACATCGCGCGGACTTTGGTCAGCTCGTTGAGCTCGAACTCCTCGGTAAAGCTGAAGGCCGGGATGCTGGCGGCCTTTGTCATCGTCTTCACCATGCCGCGGCGGACGCCGACAATCGGGATGACTGTATCCTCGGCGGCGATGTTGGGCACCGTTGAGGACAATTCGCCTTGCGGGTCGTCCTCGTTCGCCGAATTGGGGCCATTGGAGTGGGGGGGGGAAGAAAAGTCACCGATCCCCACCCCGGCGGGGCCCCCGAGGTGGCTCGCGACGTCGTCTCGGGTGATGCAGCCGCCTTTCCCGGTCGGGATGACATTTCGGAGATCGATGTTATGCTGCTTTGCGAAGGCTCGTGTTGACGGCGATGCTAAAATTTCGCGTTTGTCCTCCTGTTGGGGAGGGGGAATTGTTTCGGTCTCAGAAGACGCCTCGGGGGCTTTCGCTTCGTCTTTTTCCTTCTCTTTCCCTCCTTCTTTCCCCCCGTCCTCATCCAACTCGATATCCACGAGGCTTTTCCCGACTTGGGTGAACTCCTCCGGGGCGATATACAGCTTCTGGATGATGCCCGTATAGCGTGAGGTGATGTTCACCGTCGCCTTGTCGCTTTGGACCTCGCAGATGTTATCCATCTCCTCCACGAAATCCCCTTCCTTCACGAAGACGTTGATGATCTGAACTTCTTTAATTCCTTCACCGATGTCCGCCAGCCGAAAGGGAACAATTCGCCCCCACAACCGCCTTGTCGTCCCAAAGCGCCGGATCCCGCTTGTAATCGGGGAAAGGCCCCCTAAACAGAGAAATGCAGAATAAGGTAAACGATACATGCTTTTAAAGGTTCGCTCGGTCTTCAATGGTAGCCCTTTTATTTTTATTTTTTGGAAGGGAAAAGGAACAATTCAAGCTTGTTTTAGAGCTATTTATTGAATGAAATGTGATCGGTCCAAATACATGGATCCTGTTTCAGGGGGGGGGGGGGGGGAGAGAGAG